TATTTAAGTAACTTAGCCGTTGTTGCGGAACATTAATGCCTACCGCCGCATGCTGTATCAGTTGTTGTTGTTGCAAAAGTGGTTGATTAGAAACGGGTGTAGGTTGTAACGATGTATTTACATTTTGTGGTTGTACCAAAGATTGTTGTGGAGTTGAAATCTGTTGCGTAAGCAAATGAGAAGTATTCATATTTTGTTGTTGATTCAACTGTTGTTGTTGAGTAAGAACTTGATGTTGTTGTTGAAGTAGTAACTGTCGCTGTTGCAAAGGTGTTCGAATTTGCTGCCCATTTACCGGATGTCTAATTGGAAGTTGACCTTGTAATTGTACTTGTGATGGTCTGTAAGCCAATTCTTGCCTGATGGGAAACTTTTGTTGTATTTGTACTTGAGTATGCAATGATGATGCAGGTTGTATTTGCCCACTAGCAGAAGCTTGGTGTATTACTTGCTGTGCTATATTTTGCGCAGCGCCACTAATTACATTAACTGGATGTTGTTGAGGAATAGTTGAAGGTTGGTTAGCATTAACAGTTGCAAATGCAGATGTAGAAGATTGAGATATGTCAGGAATGACTGTTGTCCCTCCAATAAGATCCTCCGTTCTAAGAGAATCTAAATTCGGTGGTGATTCACTAGGCGAAGATAAATCTTTTCTTCTAACTGTTGGTTTTTTAGTGGGTCTCATACGATTAGTAAGTCCAGAATTATCGATAACGGCTGGCGGTAACATTTTTTGACCAGGTATCACATTGTTCGGATGCGTACCAGCATCGTTTTGTAAAAGATTTACAAGAAGTGGGCTGGACAAAGCAACTTGATTTCCATTACCATTTGAATTCCCTGCCAGATTATTATTGTTTGGTGACAGACTAGATGTGGTGGTAATTGAAGACTTGTACTGATTTGTTAACTGACCAACCGATACAACTGATTGAGTAGTAGTATGACCAGCAGTTAATGTTGTCACTGTCGCCAAATTCTCTTGAGCAGGATAAGGCGGAGGTGGCTGTACATGATGTTTAAATTGCATTGCATTTTTAATCGTTGTCGCTTGTGTTTCGCGGTTATGTATTGCTTGGGCAGCATGTGTCATACTGGCAAATGGGAATGGACCATTATAATTATTCCTAGGCGAAGCACTGGGATTAGTTACTGGTTGATTTCCAGAGGCACCAACATTGCTACTGCCTGATGTTGACTGTACAGATTTTGCAAGAAATGGTGGAATAGGATCACAGTCTGTAGGTGCAACTACATTTGGAGAACGAAACTGTGGCGCTTTCTCTGATGATGTACCTAAAATAACATAATAGATATAAAAAAAATTTACAATAGAAAAAATGTTCTAATTTTATAATGTATAGGAAACATACCAGCTGCAATTATTTGAGCCACATTACGTAATGCTGAAGAAATGCTAGATGTATTACTTGGACCAGGTAAAGCTGTTGGCGGTTCACTGTCCACATTAGTTGTATTGCTAGTGGATTCATTTTGAGATTTGGCACCACTGTCTTGTGACGGTCCTGAACGTAATACAATTTCCTGTGCCTCTCCACTAAAGCGGTTGGCTAACCTCAATGATATTACCTATCATAATTCACAATATATGTTATATATTTCTTCAATTCCTTTTAGTTTTAACTTAACCCCAAGTTAATAAAATATAAGTGTAAAAGTATTAAATTAATAAATATTAATAATTATATATTACCTGATCTCCCTCAACCTGCACTGAGAGAATTCCAAGTTGTGTAAGTGTTGGAGAACCCTGAGCTGCTAATTCTCGAAGACGTAATGCAGCTTCTCTGGGTATTGAAAATGTGACTCTGACAGAATTCCATGGCTCTACCTTATTTACCCTTAAACCATCCCCTTTGTCTATAAATCATAAAGCATATCGTATATATAGTATTGTTATATACTATGTTCAATATTAATAATATTTTAAAATTAATAATTTAGGCTTGTCATATATTAAAGTTACCTTTGCAAAGCAAAAATTTAAGATGATCAACAATGATTTTAAATTTATGTGGGAACTCTGGATCTTCTAGGTTACCTTCACACGTTACAACTGTTTGAATTAGATCACCATCACTATCAGCCGCCATGACTATAAAATTCAATTTAGATCATATATCACTAAGTTTATTAGCAAAATAAAAAAAAATTGTTATTTAATTATAAAAATTAATTAAAGATAAAAAATAAATTTTTCTTCAATAACAATTAATACATATTGTTATACTTAAATATGATTTAAATATAAAAAAGTTGTATTTAATAATATAAAAATAATTAAGTCATATTAAATTATGAATAAAATAAATAATTTTTTATAATGTTTTATACTTACCAACCACAAATCACATAACTACCCAGAGAGGTTACAAACGCCTCAGGGTATCACTACAATGTGTGGTGATAAGATGTTTGACTGTCGGTTTCAAACCGACAACTCCAAACCACTCCAGCACTAATAAATATGCTTATTGTTTCTATGGGACAAAATAATGCATTTTCAGTAAATAAAACTTCGCGAGACACAATTTATTACAACTTATTTTTCAATATAATTGCATTTAAGCAATTTAAATATTGAAAATTTTATGAAAATAAATTTAATGTAAATTTGTTATGACATAACAAAACAAAATTATTACTTCATACAATATGTTTAATATGATATGCATAGTGTATATATATTCTGCTACAAAAATTATATAGTATATTTTAAAAAAATGAAAAATATGAATTATATAAATATTCAAAATGTGACACAACCATGCTTTTTACTAATTTTATATAAAATTGTTTAATCTATAACATATTCTTATTTAAAGAATATTTAAAAAATAACTTTACCTCTATATATCATTATATGAAGAGAATATAGTACATAAACTTATGTATTTTAATCTGAAAAAAATATTAAAAAAAAAAAAAAAATTT